TCAAATAATGTATGCTCTGTCATTTCCCCACGTAAACATAACAGTGTGCAAAAACATGGTTGTCTCACCAGAAACTAACCCGTTATCCCGACTTTCTTTTTTCTCTCTCTCTTTTCTTATTTTTTTTCATGTCCNTAAGTACATCAGGTTTCATAGAGCCAAACATTTCAAGTGCTACTCAACTGGCATTTAAAAAGCCAGCCCTTTATTAGTATATAAGTGCTTTGTTAGTAATTTTATCGCTCGAAGTGGAGTCTAAAGAGATGAGTTTTCAGTTTGCGTCGGAAGATGTGTAAGCTATCTGCTGTCCTGATTTCAAATAATGTATGCTCTGTCATTTCCCCACGTAAACATAACAGTGTGCAAAGAAATGGTTGTCTCCTGTGTGCTCCACTTCCTCCTTGGCGCACCGGTAACTTTCTAAAAAAAAAACTAACCCGTTATCCCGACTTTCTTTTTTCTCTCTCTTGTCTTATTTTTTTTCATGTCCCTTCAGGGGCTCCGTAAAATATCTTTCCAAATGTATTTTATTTTATCTTTCTATTGCACATTTTTCTACAACTTCTTATATTCATATGAAGAGCGATTTATCTATTTTAATTGAGCCTTTTTCCTTTTACTTCTTGTGTATGTTCCTCTTATGAAATAAAGAGTCAAAATGTTGTTAAAGGGGAGAAACCACAAATAAGTAAATCATGAAAAAAGCACCAAATTAATTTACCCAGTCGATAAATTACATTATGTTTGGTTAGAATTACAAATCTTCTTGAATCTAATGTTTAAATATGCAAATAAGGCATTACGTTGAGCTAACTTCTGGTGAATTTAGGGAAACTGCTAACAAAAATAGACTAAGTTAGTAAAATAAACTCCTGAATGTGTATTTTGGACGTTTTTGTCTGAAAGAAGAGATGATAGAAATTGAGCAGTGCGTTAAAAAAGCATGTTTTTCCGAGCAGTGTCTCACTTTATGAGATTCAACCCAAAGCCACATTATTTCCTAAAGTTCAGAAAAAAGCAAAAAGTGTTGTAGAAACATTGCTCTGAATTGATTTTGCTGATATGAGTCAAACTTCTTGTAACTACTTCTATAAAATGTTGCTTAAAAAACAGGATTTAAGTAAACGTGGCTTTGTGTTGTAGTTATATTTATATATTATTGTATTTTAATGTTCGCTGCTCTCTCACTCACCGTCAGCGTTCTGGTCGACCAGCTCGAAGATCCGGTCACAGATTTGAGACGGCGTCATGCTGCTGACGTTAGTCTTCTGGAATTTGATTTTGTGAAGAATCTGAGTGAGATAAAAGAAATGCGTCTGTTATAAAGTGTTAATAACTAGTTGTTCTAATGTTGTAACTGTCCTCGGATTTAATATTAAACTGCAATAGATGTAACCTCCATCCAGAAGTCTAAGATGTATTCAGATCCTTTACTCAAAAAAAGAAATAATACCATACTTTAAACTACTCTGTTACAGCTCAAAGGTTTATTGTACAATGAAGGAAAACACCCAAAAACCAAGCAATTATCACCAAGTTATCATCTAGCATTTGGCTATTAGCATGAAAAGAAAATACTCAAGTGAAGTACAAGCATACTTGCCAACCTTTAGACCTCAGAAATCGGGAGCATTTCAAAATGCAAAATTGTTGTTGTTGCTAGTGGATCGCCGGAGCTGTATTAGATTAACATTAACATGCTTATTGTAGTTGTAAGTGCACTGCCTTGCGGCCTGTAGCACCGTCCTTGATGGAGCATATGTGTGGGCTGGACCTGTATTTTACAGGAAAGGAGTGAGCAGAGAGTAGAGTAGTTGTCGATTCTTGTTCTGTTTTCTGAGAATATCTGCCTCACCCTCTCAGACTTTGAGTTGCGCGCGCTACTAAAGAGACGTGTTACCATGGAAACCAAACAATGGTGTAGCTGTATTAAAGTCCGAGTGGAAACAGTCGTGTGTAAATCTGATTTTGTCAGAAATCGGGAGAAATGCGGGAGAAATATGACCCCGGGAGGAAACCGGGAGAGGGCAATGAAATCGGGAGTCTCCCGCGAAAATCGGGAGGGTTGACAAGTATGAGTACAAGTACGTCAAATGTGAGCAAATGTATTTAGTTTCTTTCTACCAAAGCACATATCTGGAGAAAATAGACCATACAAATGTTGTTTGAATCCAGGCATAATCGACTAATACTAATCAAGAGGGCATTCATTTCTTACAGTGTACTCTTTAATGCTGTTTGAAATGTCCTTTCACAAAGTGTTTTTAGCCCTTTCTATAATGCTTTTGATGTGTTATGTAAAGTATGCTGAATGTCCTTGTGGCTTTTTAAATCATCTTCTTTTGATCTGTCAAACTTTATTTACTTAACCTTTTATTTCTGTACAACCTCCAGTATGTAATGAATGTCATGAACAGCTCTGCAAGTTAACAAAGTACACTCTAAGGTTAATGAAAAGACAGAAAACAAAAAAAGCAGACTGTGCAAAAACTACTGCATCATTTGTGTTACTCTGTAAGGCTATTAAAATTACTGGACCGCTTAGGACAATTTGGGAGGTTATTGAGGATGCTGAATCAGTTTCTGACATTTTCAGGATAAAAAAATGGCAGTTTTAACCAGAAAAGGACAATATTAGTACTCCCGGTGGGTTGATTTTGATGAAAGTTGGGTAGATTTTGAAATATCAAACTTTTCAATAATTAGAAAACATGACTCCAGAAACAGCTTGTTCAAAAGATAATAAGAGGAAAACTCGCATGAGCACAATACACGCTGTCATTGAGCAAGGGTGAAGAGAAATTACAAATACTTTTTTAAACTTTTGGTTACTGAAACAAATATGACCTCATTCCTGTCACTCAATTCAGATTGATCTATGTGCAAAGACTAGCATGCACTGTGGTGATGTGTAGGCAAATATAGAATAAAGATGATAGTACATTATGGTGAACATTTTTTTAATTTACAGATACACTGTTTTTTATTTTTACTTTAATCCAGTTTCTTTTAAAACAAATAAAATAAAAAGTTATTTTAGGAGCATATTGAATAAAATTTGGTAATATAAAAAAAAGGTTAGAATACAAAATAAACAAAATAAAGGACAGTAGGAGTCAATTGAAGTGGGAATAGTAATTCATATTGGTCCACCTGAAGACACAGGAGCATTTAAGCTGCAGCATGCAGTCCCTCTCCCTCTCATCGACCTCTCACTCCCAACTCCGTGTCTGTTGTTGAAGATCCGATCTGTTGTTCTGTGTGGCTAAAGTTACCGATTACTGGTCCCTGTTGTACAATGTTGTATCTTTGTAAAAGCTAAGCTAATTTAATCTGTCTTGAAGACACGCTTTGACTTGTTTAGGAGTGAGAAACCATTTTAGTTTGAACTCCCTCCGGTTCTTCGGTTTAGCTCCGGCTCTTTTCACGCCGCCCAGAGTCCGGCTGGTGCTGCGTCATTGCGTCATCGTTTGCGTCATGACGTAACCGTCTGCATGCCTGCTTCATAAAGCCAAACCGTGCGGAAACCCCTCACAGCTGACACCGACAACAACAACAATGGCCGATTGTGTTGAAGCGCTACCCGTTTTGGTTTTGCTCTGTCGAAACAAAATGGAAGAAATGGGACGACTTTGCTACCAACTTTACAGTCTTTACATGCTACATTCAAAACTGCTTTACAATCGTGATCATCAACTTCAACGACGATCCCCCTTCCCCCGCCTCGACGTAAGCGTGACGTATGCGGTGCTTTTGCTCTGGCCGGAAAAAATGTTGGTGCTTGAAACAAACCGGATTCTGGAGCTAAGAGGCTGCTCCGCTGCGGTGTGAACAGGAAAACACGGTGCTCTTCAAGCTCCAGCTCCGAACCGGCCCTGAAACACTGTTGGTGTGAATGAGGTACTAGACCTGGGCGTAACTCTGAAAAACGTTTTAGTTTCTTTCAGCTTCTTGTTTTGGATTATAAAATAAATAAAATAACATATATATAGGATCTTAAATGTGAGTAACTTTTAGGTTACTGTAACATATATCACATACTTGCAGTGAGTCTAATTCACTTTGACACTGGGCTAATGTTACCCCCTCTGTATTTAGAGGCTTACTGTGAAGCATTACATGAAAAGAGAGCGTTCTCTACCTCCCACTGAACTGATCGACGCGATCTTTCATCCATAAGACTTGACACCGGGCCAATACTAAAGTATAATCCGTCTTGAGAGGATTGTTCTTACATAAAACCTGTTCACTCACCTCATGGGACTCATCATCTGAGTGTATCCAACTCCACTTTGGTTAAAACTAGCATTACTTTCAGAAAAACTCTCAAAACATGCTTAAAAAATACTCTAATGATTGTTTTATTAAACATCAGAATGAACAGTGTGTAATCCAATGTGAAAATTGGATAAAGACAGGTTCAAAATGATTGTTTTGTTTTGTTGGCATGTTAGAATCAAAGGCTTTTACAGAGGGGCCTCTCTCTCTCTTTGTCACTACATACACACGAAAAATGCCTTTAAAAAGTCATTTCTGCATGTTTTTAGTAATGAAGTGTGTGTAAATGAGTGTGTGAAGGCTGTGTAAGAAGCTTCAGAATATAGAGAGGAATGAAAGTGGACAGTTTGGTGTGTGTGACAGATTTCTGCTGTGATTGGAGGGGAGAAAGCTGCCTTTAAAGATATGTATGATGAATGTCATGTTGTACACAACACAGGTTAATAGGGAAATAAATGGGTAAGCATCAGGGGTGGAAAGCGTTTTTGAATTCTTCACTTGAGTAAAATTACTAATAAAAATACTTAATTTCAAGTAAAAAGTACTGCATCTGGAATGGTACTTAAGTTTCAGAAGTATTAAAGGTCCCATGTCATGGCCATTTCTACTGATCATAATTCCATTGTTGAGGTCTACTAGAATAGATTTATATTGTGCGATTTTCCAAACTCACATTGGTTTCTCATACAGCATCTCTGTATAGTATGTGTATTCACTCTCTGTCCTAAACGGCTTTTTGGAGCTCCTGACTCCCCCCCCCCTCCATGTGAGCCCACTGTGCTCTGATTGGTCAGCTCGCTGAGGGGGCTGCAATACCCCGATCTGCGAGGCTTCACTAGCACCCCCTCCCTGTCTTAGTATGAAAACACTCAAGTAAAGTACAAGTACCTCAAATGTGGTACAGGACTAAATGTAATTCTACGTACGCATGGCCCCTGCGTCATAGTGTAATCCATCTGGAGAGGATCGTATACTCAAAACCTTGGCACTTTTCAAATGACTGTTAAAATTGGCATTACTCTCCACCAAACACTTAAAATAAAAACTGTTTGTATCGGCATATTCCTCACCCTTATGATGAGCTTCACTTCACTTCGGTCCAACCTGCCGTTCCCGTCCTTGTCGTACAACTTGAAGGACCACTTTAGTCGGTCTTCAATATTCCCTCTTAAGATTAAGTTGAGAGCTGCCACATACTCGATGAAATCCAGAGCGTTATCCTGCATATCACAAATCCTTTATTGCAACAGAAATAATGCAGAGTTGAATTCACAATTAGCTTCTTCTTTTTTTATCAATGATTGTTAGATGTTGCTCACAGTCTACTGTGCCTGTAACTGGACTGAAAAAACTGAAATGTTGACTTTAATTAAATGTATTATGTCAACAAATATCACATAACTGTATTAGGTTAGTTGAAAGCAATAATATTAAGTTGAACCTAATGTTTGTTATTTAAATGTAATGTTATTGCTTTCAACTAACCTAATACAGACCGTGACATCTGTTGACATAATACATAACATTAACGTCAACGTTTCAGTTCTTTCAGTGTAATTAAATGATTATACATTTAAATGATTAATGACATAAAACACACTGTTAGTTAAACATTTCTGCATCTCTGCTTGAATGTACACTAAAATGTTTGCCCACTGCAACTTCTTTTAAATGCACACAATCGGTCTGTTTCCACAAAGAGAAATCTGCTGCTTCTTTTTACCTGATTTGTGTCGAAGGAGTGGAATAACGTCTCGATGTACAGCGACTCTTCTTCAGAGGAACTCGGCACCCCGAAGATCCTCTTGAACTCGTGTAGATGCAGCGCCCCGCTCGGACACTCCTTCATGAAAATGATGCAAAGATCCTGAATTTGCACCAAATCCATCTCCTCGCTGTGGCTCTCCTCCTGCCCCATGGTGTGGCTTTTAAAAGAAGAGTTTAAATGATGTTTGAGTGAGTGTTTCCCTTCTGATTCTGAGCTCCCCGATGCATACGGCTCACTCTCTCCAATCAAAGTGAGGAGCTGGCAGAGACACTGCATGCTGACAATCAGTCAATCCTATTAGCTCGTTAATCGCTTGATCTTTGGCCAACAAGGCGTTGTTAAAGTAGGTCTGAAAGGACTGCTGCCACCAAGCGCAAAGAACTGCGATACCGCGTTGTCTACTTAATCAAAGAGAGGAGAGTGAATTACAGACAGCTGGCTTTACCAACAGCTGTCCGTCAACCAGCATAATTTGAGAATGAGTTGGCTGTTTTCATGTAACTAATGAACCAGTGACTAACAGAATAAATACAACACCATTTTTCAATATTTTACTAATTGCAGGTTAAAGTTAAAATATAAAGTGATTTTTGACACATCAAATATTCTCGTTAATCAGATTCCGAATCAGAATACCTTTATTACTCTATATTTTCTAATATACACATACAAACATATTGTGTGTTACATATATGTTACATATTGTACAATGTGCACATTTTTACTTTAACTTGTTGTGTTTTTTAAATAACGTTTTAATTATGTTTTAATTATATATTTATTGGAACGTTTTACTCAACTTATTTTATTTATATGAATATTTTTATTTATTTTTATCTTTTAATGCACATTTTACTTAAACTACTTGTGTTTATATAACAATTTTTATTCTATTTTACTTTTTTTAAATTGCACATTTTAATTAAACTTCTGGTTTTTAAGTAAATATCTGTATGTTATTTTATTCTAAAGTGAGCAACCATCACACACTCAATAATAATAAAATAAGAGTTCTGATTCTGACTGATTAACAGTGGGCTAATATCTACTGAGCAAACTTCTGTATTGCTCACATCTGTTATAACGTTTTAGTTTTCCTATAGAGCCCTCTTTGAGAAAATGTAGTTCAGATTTCCCTTAAATATATGTGCTAAAGTATGGAAGTGCATCACAATTGAAACTCAAAACAAGAAGTGCAAGATCTTGAATTCGAATAATTAAAAGTTGCATTTCTTTCCTGCATTTGGCACTTTAAAATTCATCGTTTCCATTTGTCAATCCACATACATTTATATTTTCTTTAAGTCCTCTTGCATTTGGTTTACAGCTGAATATTCCCCTTGAACAGCAGGGGGCGCTGACTATCCTAAAGAACACACAGAGAGTGGAGAGCAGGGCCATCACTTCGGTATTGTTATATTATTTATAAGGAACGGGCTTTATGTTGATAAAACTCTTAATATTTAAGTCCATGTGACCTCAATGGATAAAACAAACCTTTCTCGGGTTGTTTTGTAAAGAAAGTGCATCCAATACCAGATGTTGAGGCCAATGTGGATATTTGAGGGTTAAGAAGAAAACCGAGTCAGAATTGTAATTGCACTTTATAAGATTATTTGATATGCGATATTATGGGAGCCAGTATTAGACTTTTTCCTTTCTTTGTCAACATTAGTTACCTCATATTATTATGATATTATTAATTAAGATACCTAGCAGTGTACCTTTACAGCTGCACAACTGAAATGATGAAAACATTAATGCATCCATATTTACAGTCGAGTGATATGATGGATACTATTCTGATAATATTAGTTTTGGTACTTTAAGTATATTTTGATGATAATACTTTTTTACTCTTATTTAAGTACAATTTTGATTGCAGGACTTTCAATGCAGCAGAGTATTTCTACACTGTAGTAATACTAGTTTAACTTAAGAAAGCAATATATATTTAAATACTTCCACCTTTGCTTACCGTTAATCAGGTTCCAAAATAATGTCATATATCATTATTTATAGTAACTACAATCCAAACAGATTTAGATAGCCAATTGATTTTGACAATTACATTTCAAAATAACGTGTTAACCTCGGCCTGTTTCACATGGTGCTGTTGTTAGGGTATTTTTAGACAAGTCTCATAACTGAGCCTGATAAGTGAAATTGAGTCACAGGGAAACGAAAGGGTTTGAAGATTGAGAAATAATCTCTAAAGATTACAAATGTTGACATTCAAGTGTGCTGCTTTCTTTTTTTCCTCATAGAAATTTGATTTAAAAATGTAACAGCATCAGAAGCAGTAAATTGATGATGTCTGTATTTTCACTCATTTAAACTAAAGGTCTAAGGATACATAAATGACACTCCTCTGCTCAATGATTATGTGCAGTTGAACTATAGTTCATACAGGTACAGCGTGGTGAGAAAATAAAGGATTACGGGTAATAATCTCAGCGGGATCCTGAGACCTTTGCGTAACTAAGAACATGTACTAAACTATTCTCGGATTTACACGATCCCATTAGCAGCCCCAGAGACGCTCTGAACCTTAGAAGCAACATCCATGTGAGGCCAAGCAGGAGATTTAAAATGTAACTTGACCTGATTGGATGGGAATCTAAATACTAAGAGTGAATGATATTTCTCTAAACCAGATTAGCAAAATAACAAACAGACTGAGTTTTATTTCTCTGCAGGGTCCTTTAATTATAGGAGCGTGTCAGGGTAAAACAAGGAGTACATGCTCAATAGGATTACATACCGTAGCAAGTAGCATCTCACTAAACGTTGGCCCCAGTTATTCTGTTTTATAGTTAGATAGATATCGCCAAATTGGAATTAAAAAAATGGGATTATTGTGGTTAGACCTGCAGTGCGGACCTGTGTTTATCTTCTGGCAGTGAGAGTAATGATTTTATAGCAGACCGGCTGCTCTCATACAGCCAGCAGCTCCTCACAGCTCCAAACATCGCTGTTAATTCCAAAATATGTGTTCTTTGGATAAACGAATCAAATATATATTTTGGTATTCTACTATCTTGCACTTTTCTTGCATTTTATGTATTTGCACTGCTCTGTTTGTAATTTTCATTTTCTTAATGTTTTCTGTGAGGGACTGCGGATGGAAAGTAGCTCAAAGCTAAATCCGGCGTAGTTACACTTGGCACATCTCATGTTTTAAGTGTTTACTGTGCAACGTCCCTGCCAAATAAACTGATACAATAAATACAAATATTGATAATCTAAATGGTTAGTTTTTTCGCCTGAATCAGTGTTATTACAGTTCATTCGAAATCTTTAAAGCAGTTTCTTTGTCAGGTAAAGGTTGATAACGCTGGCAATGCAAAGTAATACAAGCTACACGCTGTAACCTGGAGGACACAACTCAAGACAAAGAGGAAGAGCTCACGATCAGGTCGAAGGTGGATCTGAGTACATCTGATCCGATCACACTGCAGAGAGATATTACATAGGACCTACACCTCTCAATTAAACTGTGGCGCCCTTATGTGAGCATGAAGGAATACACAAAGAATAACAAGTGAGCAATGCATTTTATGAAGACTTTATGAAATAATAAAAACAAGCAAATACAAAACATAATTTCAAAATACTTTTAAAGACATGTTTTTCTTAAATATGTATTATTTTTCAAAGAAACTGGCAGTGATTGGCTTATCACACACACACACACACACACACACACACACACACACACACACACACACACACACACACACACACACACACACACACACACACACACACACACACACACAGAACAGGCCTCCATCATGTCCTGCAGTTCAATTTTATATCTTAGTAGTTCTTTCTTCGTTTCTTTAGACAATAAACACATTTTCAGCTGACGATGGAATTAACTTCATTTTATTTCACAGTTCTTTCTTTCATATGTGCATTTAATAAAAGCAAGAAAGCAGGACTTTCACAGTTCAAACTGATCTGTACACTTCTTCATTAATCCCTTCAATATACTTCTTCATTAATTCCTTCAAATAATCCGACGCAGCAGACTCCTACTCCATGATCCCAGCGTTGCGGAGGTAGCCTTCAGGGCCGGGCAGCGAGGAGGTCTGGTCTAGGTGAGGACTGCCGGCCTGCTGGATGAACTGCTGCAGCTCACACTGCCTCAGCTCCTTGTTCAGCTCCTCCATCATCTCCCATCTGCCCTACAACATGCAGGAACATTATATCACCAACAGCACCAACGCTGAGCTCAATGCATTTGGTAGAGACGTTTAATCCTTTAGAAATGATAACAGTCTTTAAAGGACAAGGCTTCATAGCGTGGTGCAGGAATGAGTCCCTTGACATGAGTCTGCATTTTATAACTTTTCCATCCCTCGTTTGGAAGGCAATGTACTTTTGAATTTGTTTTTGTTTGTAATCCTGAAATAAATTCTGTGGTTAACAAAAGCTGAAGAGATTTTAATTCTACAACATAAAATACATCAGTAAGTACTAGAGATGTCCCGATCCGATCACGTGATTTTCGGAATCGGGAGAAAAAAAATCGGGGATCGGGATCTTTTTTTTTTTTTTTTTCTTTTTAAAAGACTTTTTTTTAAATTTTGTATTCAATGTTACAAAACAAAAATGACCATGTTCAAGTGTATGTGTTGCTTCTTTGGGGGTTGTTTTCATAGACCTGGTTGCTTATTTCTCTCAAATCTGGCAACAGAGTGGGCAGGGCGCAGTGTCTAATTGTAGCAGTAAGCTAACGAGTACTGAAAGCTTTATTTTGTTTTGATCCAATGCTGCACAACTGAACTGATCCAATGCTGCTGTGAAAGAAAGAANGATCTACATAGGAACACCCGTTCTATGAATTGGGACTCAACGAGGGCTACCGTACGGTTGCCACACACCTTACAATCCAATGATCTCATTCATGTGACGAGACACACTTACCCCTTGACTGTACATCATACATTTCGCGAACCTCCCCAGAATTGCTGACCTATTTCCGCGATGTATCTCACTGTCAGGTAAATGAAATTTCATGCAATTCCTCATTTACATGACTCAGGTCTTGAGGTCGTGACGATGTTCGGCAGGTAGGCAGGTGTTACTTCGTGTGCCAATTTTATTTGAGACAATCCCTGTTGTTAACTTCTAATCTTGTCAATTACTTCCCTAATAGATAAAATCCTTCACTAAATCAAATTTGGACCTACGAAGTATTTTTCAGCCGACGACAGTCACATATTCGAGAAGGAACTAAGAGTCTTTTATTCCTAAGAGGGAAGACACTACCATTCACAGGTTTATACATAACATTTTCTTTGTACCCAGTCTTTGGTACTCCTCCTTCATTTTGGGTCGCTACTTATTATCGCATTTACATACGAGTATTGAGCGAGAGAACCCTCGTAGGTATTCGGACTTGCGGGACTCTGATTGGGTGTCTACTTCGACGGAATACTGAATTCTTCCGCTTAATAGCTCAGATCCCTAGTTGTTTTTGGGGTAATCCTCCTCTTACTTTGATTGTAGCGTCTCGTGGCTTCTTGGGTACGAGTCACTCAGGTCTAAGTCAAACAGACTAAACGGAGATTCAAGTACAGTTAGTTAATGCGTCTTAGGAAATTGTCTAGACTATGTGCACAAATGCGGGTTCACTATTAATGTCCGAGTCTTGTAATATTGTTAGTACTAGTTCAGATTAGTATGAAAAAGTTCGGGACTTGCTTTTCTGTCTTCCCGACTAACATCCCACCACATATCTGCGAGAAAACAAATGACACACAATTAGGTTACGTTTCGAAGAGAGCTAAGTCGAGTCAAACGTATAAAGTCCCGGTCGACAGACGTGGCAGGGTACTATCTAACGGGGAAAAAGTTACACAAATGAGAGCAAGACGACCGATTACGTCTCCTTCTAGGAGTAGACTCAGGCGGTCTTCTAGCTTTAGGCCGGGTCCCGCGGCACAAATGATACATAGAATAAAGACAAAACACACCGGTGTCCCGATTACTGGTGTCCTTAGGGAGAGCGATATTTTCTGGTGGACGGTCACTCCGTCTATCAGTAGCCTCTGTGGTTGGTTGGAGGTGCACATGGTGGTACCGGAGCGCAACACATACCTCTGTCATCCACTAGTGGAGCTCACAACTTCGCCTCGACACGTCTAACCGACCGTCTACCTGTTGGAACTAAGGGTGAAAATCTACCTAGTCTCGACTCTCCTACGGAAGTGCGGAGTACACAAATAGGTGACTCATTCGTTTCAAATTTTGTTTATTGTTCCAGTTCTGGAGGACCGACCCTCCTGAATAGTGGAGCCACTTTAGACAGAAATGTTTGAGTACAAACACGTTCGGTCCGTTCTCAGGTGTTTTTACGTCCCCTCTGTGCCCCCCTCTCTCCGGACTTTTCGTCCTGCCCACAATTGTACTATATACTAAAACATACTGACGAATAATAACAAGAGAGATACATCACTAAAAAACACACCACTTCGTCCCTTAAAAAATCATCGAGTAGACCCTCAGTGTTACATTCGAGGTCTCTGGGGGTTACTAAAATAACAAGTTTAAGTTCACCTCTCTCACAAAGGACGTCCTTTAATTTATACAGACGGTAGTCATTCTATTCCTTATCCACGACACAACATCTCAGGATAAATCAAGAGGGAAAGGGTGAAAAATTTGGTAATAGGATCTGTAACAATAGCTATTCGATTTGAATAATAATAATACATTACATACACCACGTTATCCAATGACTCTTTTTTGCATCCGATCACGTGATCGGGGATCGGAGCCGATCACGTGATTTTCAAAAGATCGGAATCGGGAGAAAAAAAATCGGGGATCGGGATTTTTTTTAAAAAAAGAATTTTTATTAAATACTTTTTTTAAATTTTGTATTCAATGTTACAAAACAAAAATGACCATGTTCAAGTCTTAAAGTCATCCTGAGGCCTTAGTTTTGGTTTCAAATTACACAACATCATGTATGTGTTGCTTCTTTGGGGCTTGTTTTCATAGACCTGGTTGCTTATTTCTCTCAAATCTGGCAACAGAGTGGGCAGGGCGCAGTGTCTAATTGTAGCAGTAAGCTAACGAGTACTGAAAGCTTTATTTTGTTTTGATCCAATGCTGCACAACTGAACTGATCCAATGCTGCTGTGAAAGAAAGAAGCTATATCCATGTTGGATAGAATATCCAATTTAAATAAGAAAAAATAACCTTAAGGGACAACTTGAATGCTTTTTTTTCTCTTAATGCATTGCATAAAGATCGGATCAGGAAAAATCGGTATCGGCAAATTGTCAAAATCAAATGATCGGAATCGGATCGGGAGCAAAAAAAGGTGATCGGGACATCCCTAGTAAGTACCCCAGTCTAAAAACGGCCGTTGTTAAAAAGTGTCTAAATGAGTAGTGTCAATATGTGGAGATTATCCTGCTGAACAAAACGTGTAAGTATCATAAACATTGGATTGCCACTGAGATTTGTTC